CCCTAACTCCACTAATAGAAATTGGGGGTAATGTGTGTTGAGGAGTCCAAAGGAACAGTATTCTGGAAACAGTGCAATAGGTGAACCAAGTTCCCTAAATTTTCAAAAGCAAACCAACCCTGATTTATTCAATCGGATGATCAGCAGGGTCGGGTAGAATCCCCTTTAGCTCTTCTCATGATAGTCCATCAGTAGCAGTCCATGATTATATGGTAATACCATCTGGAAATATGTACAGATTACCTCCTCTCACATAAATAGCTAGAATCCCACATTAAATAGGTGGAGGGATTGGTGTGAGGGAAAAAAAGGAAGCATCCTTCAAAAGCACCTGAAGAACACACCTTGAGACGAAAGAGTCAGATCTGAAGATCTGATCAGGGAGACCGTACCACGTCTGAACCAGGTATACTCTTCGTCCGTTAGAGAAAGTTGTGGCATATATGGGTGGAAAAACAGAAGAGCACATCCAAATATGTGTGTGAAAAACAATGGGAGTACCCCTAGGTGTAGGGTGGCTAGGGCGTGATGGACTGCACTCCGCAAGTCAACTACATCCAAAACACATGCTGCTGAGAACCGACATCCACGAAGGGGTAGGATGAGGATTAGACTGTCTTCACCTCAAGTTCAAGAGACCAGAGGGGATCTCGAACCCCCTTTACTCTGGAATAGGGCACATTTTAAGACAAGAAAATGATATATCAATACCATAGAGAAATCAACTCCCTCAATAGTGAAACTGACCAGAACCAACCCAGGTGCAATAACATCCTTGGAATAAGATACATCGAGGGAGAGCAGAACTGAAAGAACCATAACAATCCCAAGTACCTCCAATGTGACCCAGAACACAGATAGAATATAACTGAGGGAGGAAGACAGACATCCATAATACATGTGTGAGGACGTATGTTGATTGGTTCTACTCTAAATTCAAAACCTGGCCACTGGGAACCAACATCCATGTGGGGGAAGGAGGAGGGATCCCATTCTAAGGGGTGAACTGCAATTTGATATCTCACTCCTATCATTTTCATATGCTTTATAATGGAGGATATCAAGTCATCTACACCAGAAGAACACCGCCACCCTACTCTGCACTAAATGGTATTTCTGTATTGATATTTTATTGCATTAATCCATTCAGGAGGATGCTTCTGTGGTCCACCACCCCAGCGACTTGGAACTGGAAAGTGGTAAAGACTCCCAAACTTCACTAGAAGAAAAGGGGGGGTGAAACACAATGAAGAGTCAAGAAGAATGTCAACACCTGAGACAGTGCAATTAGTGACCACAGCACCCTATTTTCTAAAAGCAGACCATACCGATTACTCAATACCAGGCATGGACAGCTATCCCCTTCTGCTTTATCCATTTAGTCTATGGGTGGTACGGTCCAAGACAGGCATATATATGAAGCAATTCCATTATGAGGATAACCTTCATGCGATCTTGTGGAACACCCCATCTCAACAGTGTGCATTGCATGGCCATGGAATATAATAAGCAAGTCGACATGGCTGAACAGCGTGGATTTTAAAGGTTAAAGAATACCTTTTGCATGAAGAGGGCAGCAATGAAAGAGAATAGCTATTTTTGTGAGCGGAGGTAATGTACCATATCAGAAAAACTGTTTAACTATGAGGCTAGTTCCCAGAGCATGTCAAATAAGCATAGCATCAATGGGAGAAAACTACATTAGTAATTCTAAGAACT